GTACACACAAACGCTCCAACTGTCTGACAACAACAGGAAGGTGACACATGTGGAGGAGGTTCAGTCATCATCCTGATCATCCAGACAGATTTGTGTATTGTCATACAGCTGCTGTGTAGAGATGATCTGACGGTCGCTGTTACTGGGAGGTCAGAGTGGACGAGGAGGGCTTGGATATCAGTGAGTTACAGAGGAATCAAAGAAAAGGAAGGAGTGATGAGTGTGTTTTGGTGAAATGATCAGTCCTGGAGTCTTTGCTGCTCTGATCATTATTCTCTGTGTGGCACAATAACAGGGTACAACACCCACTCCTCCTCCTCCTCCTCCTCTGTCTCTAACAGAGCAGCAGTGTATGTGGACTGTCCTGCTGGCACTCTGTCCTTCTACAGAGTCTCCTCTGACTCTCTGATCCACCTCCACACCTTCACACCACATTCACTGAACCTCTTTATCCTGGATTTCAGTCTCTGGGCCTCGAAGTGTAGACTGTGTGTAGTTTAGTTAGAGCCGTCCATGTTAAAGACTAGTCTTTGCACACTGTGAATTGCTTAGAGTCTTACCAAGAAATAGTTCAGTCTGTACACGTCTGTTCTTTCACTCAGAAACACATTGTTTAGATTCATGGATTCATCATTGATGTTTTAAACTAAATGAGTCACAAATTATTATTCAACACAAGTTTGGTGAGCAGCAGGGCTCATCCTGATTTTTGTTTTTGTGCATCATACACCCCCCCCCCCCCCCCCCCCCCCCCCCCCCCCCCCCCCCCCCCCCCCCCCCCCCCCCCCTTTAATAGAATCTCTTCTCCCTCATCAAAGCTCTTTCTTAAATCCTCTCTGAGAGGAGCTCAAACACGAGGAAGAGACGAAAGTGAGGGAAGAGAGTGGACTCATTAGTAAAATGAAAAACAGCCAGCGTTGATGTTTAAGACAAGTGAGGTAACAGAAACACTATATATGGCAGTGGTCACCATGGCAACGTCAATGCCGGTTGCTACGTATT